TGCCCTTTGGATTAGCTCTGCTTCAGACCCCATGTGATAAGGTCCTAGATAAGGCTACATTTCCCCTGCTCTATGAGCGACAGGCTTTTTGCTATGCTTACTTACATTTTCCTGCTGTATTACTTTTCCTTGCTTGCTTTTACATTTCAAAACAGAAATCAGATAGCCTTTGATTTTCTTTTTCAGATGAGCAAATGCGGCCGAAACACAAATAACATGTGGCATGTGCTCAAATTAATGTTATGCATGTAAAAGATTTGGACATGATGATGCTAGTAGTTGAAATGTTTACTATACATAGATCCCATTTCGTATAGCTAGAAATAATGCAAGCATTCATACATTGTTCCCTTGGTATGCTAGAATGTTATTCTGAACAGAATAGCCTTAGCAATGTTCAAAAAGCAGTTTACTCATCACAATCATTCATATATTGGCCTTCTGAAGGACTTGTGTAATGAAAATCTTGAAAACAATGTTATTGCTATTATACAACTGAACTTGGCAGCTAATTTATTTAACTTTGCCCTTTGAATATCAGTAAGCTATAGCTTTGACTCATCTTTGGCATTAGTAAATACTGTATTAGTAACATGAAGATGCCTTTACTTGCAAGAAGGCAAACATCTATTGCCCATGGGAGGGAATTAGCCAAAGTTGCAGTATTCCAGAACATTATTTCTAAAATGATTGGAACTACTTGAGATTTAAGATGGTGTCAACATATGAGCCAGTGTAGTGTAGTGGTCTGAATATTGGACTAGGACTCTAGAGAACAGGGTTAAAATCCCTGCTTTAACCAGTGAAACCCACTGGGTGATCTTGGGAAAGTCACATTCTCTCAGCCTCAGAACTGAGCTCAGAACTAACTTTCTTTGAACAGATCTTGCCAAGAAAACCCTGGGATAGGTTTGCCTTAGGGTCACCATAAATCAGAAGCAACATGAAGGCAAACAACAACAACAAAGTCCCTGCTTTGGATGAACACTGCATAGAAAAATCTGTAATCTTTGAAGACATCACTAGGAGTGCCACTTCCACACACGGTGAATGACTTGAATTAAATACATTATATTAAACTACATACATTAAATTAGGGGCTAGGCAAAATGGGACCCTGGTATCCCCCAGGCGTTAGATTGCTGTAGACTGCCCTTTTTGTGGCTGAAATCTCCTGGAAGCCACAAAAAATGACAATGCAATTTT